GCTCTCCCCGACTCAACAATATTCTACTTGTACAACGATCTCCATCCAGGTAAAAAGATGAAACTGCTTTTTACTAACAGTGGAACCAAGGTTAGTTTCTTGCCTCGTCGAGTCGCAGAGTCTATACCATTTTCAAGTGACAAATTTCCGGAGATTTTGAAGTACTTTTCTCTACAAGTCAACTCAAAAGAGGCTGAGATTATCAGTGATGAAATAGGATACTGCGAGAGCCCGAACATGGAAGGAGAAGAAAAATATTGTGCTACATCTCTAGAGTCATTAATTGATTTTAATGTTGCGGGGCTTGGCCAAAATGTTCAGGTACTCTCAACTGAACCAGGCAAGAAGCAAGAGTATACTGTTTCGGCGAAGGCGGAAATGAGGGGAGAACATAAAGCAGCGGTGTGTCATAAGATCAGATATCCTTATGCAGTACATTATTGCCATGTAATCGAAGGCACAGAGGTTTATGTGGTTCCATTAATCGCTGCTGATGGCGCAGAAGTGAAAGCGGTAACCGTATGCCACCTGAACACATCAGCTTGGAGTCCTGACCATATGGCCTTTGAAGTTCTCAAAACTAAACCAGGACCGGCTGTTTGTCACTTTCTGGCTACTGATACTCTTGTTTGGGTTCCAAAAAAGGATCAAGACATGACTCCATGATCATAGGTCAAAGCTTGGTATTGTGGTGGCTGCTTTTAAAGTTGCGTAATAAGAAGGTCCTGAAAAACCTTGTCTTAGCATGCTTGGAATTATGTATTGAAAGCCCAGAAATGTGATTGTATTTTCTAGCATGGAATGTATCATTTGGTGCAATGGTGTTTGTTGTCCTTTTTGTTATCCATTAATCACAAAGATTCCGTTGAGAAAGTTTGGTTATGAATTTACATGGAGCAATAAAATAAAAGACGCAAATTCTTCCTTTTTCTTTCTCAATTTTTTTCTACTGTCTGGGGAAAAACTCCTATCCTCTAAGAAAGTAAAAATCTTGAAATACATTCTTTGAAAAAAATTACCAGTAGAATGATGGGCGAATGCATATATTAACAATAGCAGAACCCCGCCAACCTAGCATGATTTGTGGGAGTAACTGGAGAGACAAGGAGACCCGGAACAATTGCAATGACGAGGATAAACACTCCCTCAAATAAGCCTATGTCAGTGAAGAGAAGTTGACTGATGAAGGAGTCCCAGCAGCAGTAAACTCACCTCAGGATGGTAATTTATAGTAGAACATATATTGGAAACAAATCAGCCCAAATCATGTTAGTTAATGTTATCAGTCAAAGTAACAGATCACATTCCAGAGATTTTATTTACACATATTCTATTCAAATTGATATTTTATTGTTATCTTAAATACCAACCGCTCAAGCACTGTAAAAGTACTGCTATGTATTCATGTCTCCTTCAATAAAGAAACTAATCTTCTTAGCAAACAACTTTTTCTTTCATTTTTTCTTTATGATATCATAGCTTGTGTGAACATACAACAATCTCAGCAAAACCTTGCAACATGACAACAACGTCTTTTAATATTGGCAATTTTATTACCCTCAAACTCAAGCCTACAAATTATGCATTGTGGAGAAAGAACAAGCCTTAGCTCTTGCAAAAAGTCAAGAGCCTGGGCACCTCACTAAAGAACATCCAACCCCCATTAAGTACATTACACTAGACTCAAATAACACCACATATTTAGACATTTTCACCAAAACTAACTTAACTGAAGAATACATTGTCTAGCAAAAGACAGATCTTCTTTGTGGATAGATAATTGGGATGCTTTTAAAAGAAACATCCAGTCTTGCTTTGGGTTTAGATACATCCTATGCTATCTATAATACTCTCAAAAATGATTATGCAAAAGATTCACAAGAACATAAATTTACTCTCAAACAACAAGTTATATATCTTCAAAAAAAAAATGACAGAACCATTAAAAAAAATATAAGTATCTTCAAAGGTTTATATGATAATGTTGCCATTATTAAGAAACTTGTCTAAAAAAAAAAAGGTTTTTGCCCTCCTCACTAGTCTTAGCCCTCCATATAAAACTTTCATTACCACCATACTAAAACTACCAAGGCCTTTATATTCCGAGTCAGTCTTACAATTAAAAAGTCTTGATCAAAGACACAATTGGTTTACCAATTATATGAATAACTCAAACTCATTCACCCTACAACTAGTGTTTATGGACAAAAACTACAATGTACTCAATAGTTCCCTTTAAGAAATTATAGGAACAAACACAAGTTCATATCTACTTGTAGAGGCTTTTGTGTGCAACAGCCTAAATATAGAAATCATATCTACTCTTCCAAACTTACTCCAGGCCTCCAATAAGAATTTCTCCCCCCACCTAATGAAAAACATGGCACTTGCATAACAAGAATTATATCGAGAAGAAACTTGTCAATATTATGGTTATGTAGGATATATTGAAAAGATATCTTGCTAACTATCAAAATGATGAACTCAATATGAAAGATATTTTATAAGCTCTTATAGCTCTCACTTTGAACAATACTATAATTGAAAAATAATGGACATTAGACACGGGAGCCTCCAACCATATGTTAGGAAGAGGAACTTGAGGCTCTCCAAAAAATCAAACTTTGGAACTTGTTCCTTGCACAACTTCCATGCATGTCATTAACTTTAAATGGGTTCTCAAACCAAAAATCAAACTCGAAGGCTCATTGGATTGTTTTAAAGCTCGAGTGGCACCAAAAAGGTATATCACCAAGTTGATGGATTGGATTATATCAAGATCTTCTATCTATTTATCAAACTTGGAACTATATGCATGGTTATAACCATAAAATTAGTTTAGAAATGATCCATACATCATCTTGATGTAAAAAAAAGCTTCTTACATAGTTTAATTTCAGAAGACATAGAACCTTTGAGAATGACAAATCTTCAATATCTATCACATGTTTGTAAGCTCCAAATAGCTCTTTATAGTCTTAAACAACAACATCATGCTTGGTTTGATCAGTTTGGCACATTCCTTAAACATAATTTCTTTTGGAGCCTTGCAGACCCATCTCTAATTATCTTTTACACTAATTATAATACATTAATCATTTTTTTATGTTGATGATATAATTTTCACAAGGTCTTCTGTTACTCTAGTTATGAACTTCATTCATATTTTGTGTTTAAAATTTGTAGTGAAATATGTGGGACCAGTTCATCACTTTCCTGGAATTAAGATCACTCACACATATAAAGGTCTCCTCCTTTCTCAATCACACTATGTTGTTACCATCCTTGAACAAGCTTACATGGTGGAATATATACCCATGAACACACCACTTTAAGCTAAGACTAGGATCACAACAAATGGCATGTTACTGTAAGATCCACTCTTTTCATGGACTTGTTGGTGCCTTATAGTACCTAACACTCACATGACATGATCTTTCATACATTGTTAACTTTGTCTCCCAATTCATGCATGCTTCGATTGTTATATATTTAAAAATGGTTCATCACATTTTAAGATATGTAAAAAAAACCATTGATATTGACCTATATTTTACTTCCCATGCTACACTAGATACTGCATATTTCTTAGAAGAAATCTCACCTCAAGATGGTGATTCATGATAAGAAGGAAATTTTTGTTATGGAAAAGCCGCCAGTACAATCTTTATATTTACTAACAGAATTTTCCATCAGTATTTGCACTATCATTCTATTAGTAATTAATTTACCAACAAAATTACCGACGGAAATGCTCAATCCATGAATCTTTCATCAATAATTTTTTGTTCATCGGTAAGTCTGTTGATAATAAAAAAAATTATTTTACAGATGGAAAAAACATGCAAAAAAATTATCTTCTTCATTCCGTCAGTACTTCTCTTGGTAAATCCGTATGTAATTCCGTCGATAATTATTTTAAAATATTTTTAAAAAATCTATTTTACAAAGCTATAAAATAATTAAATTAATATAAATTAACACTATATAATACCCAAAACACTTGAAAAAAAGAAAAAGAAAATTGACTCAACAAATTTGCAACAAATAAATAACAGAAAAAGTAAATTCATCTACAAAAATTCATATGGAAAAAATAAAGTTACAATTGCTAAAACTTTAAAAATCCTATAAATAAATCAACTAAAAATTGATCTCATATGGAAAAAAGAATCCTACAACAACATTCATACATTTATTAAGAACCAAAAAAATTAAAAACAAAATAAAAAAACAAATATAGTGAAAACAAAAACTCGAAAAAAGAAGAAAAAAATATTACCTTGATGTAGTTGCAAGTGAAGCTAAGAAGAAAAAAAAAAAACATAAAGTTTATTAATTAAAAAAACTAAGGAGAAAAAAAAAGAGAAAAATACATACTTGAGCATCTAGCAAAAGAGAAGAAGTCAAGAAGATAAGAGAAGAGAAAGAAATGGATATTGATATTTTTTATATATGGGAAAGAAGAAGAAGAAGAAGAAAGGAGCCTTATTTGTTGTGAAATTCTGGACTTTTTATTACAGTGTTTTACCGACAGATAATTAAATATTAATATTTTTAAATATTACATCGATAATATTTAATTAAAATTTTTAATTTAATAAAAAAATTCAGAAACCGCTAAATATCACCGATGACTTTTCAATCTGTCGGTGATTCTGTCTGTAATATTTAATTTAAATTTTCTATTTAACTAAAATTTTTTAGAAACCTGTCAAATAATACTGACAACTTTTTAATCCGTTGGTGCTTTTATCTTTAAAAAATAATAATTAACAGTATAATTGAGGAGTGAATAGTTCAAGAGTTCTCTAAAAAATACCGATGGAATTTTCCGTTGGTGACTTTCTCTGTAATTAACATGATGAGCAATGTTAATATCTTACAATTGAAATTACCGACAGAATTTACCAACGAAATAAAAGTATTGTTGTATATTCACGTTTCCTTCAATAAAGAAATTGATCTTTAATTTTATCAAACAACTTTGTCTTTTTATTTTTCTTTAGCACACTCTTCTCAATTTATATTCAAACTTTACAAGAAATGAAATGAGAATTGAATCTTAGATTTTTGTAATTAAAAGAAATCATAAAAAAAAACTCATTTCATTTGTCAGTTCATATGGTTATAAATTTAAGGACTACAATTAATTGCTCTCCATTACGAATATTGAATTTAAGGTATTTAAGATATCTAAGATGTTTTAATGGTAGCTTTAATCCATAATGTTTCTTGGTTACTATAAAAAAAGACATCTAAAATATACTTTGCTAGCAAAAGAAATTAGTGAAAATCCAGGATCTCAAAGCTCTCTATGCTGTGCAAATGAGTTGAAATTTTTTAGAAACCCGTCAAATAACACCAATGACTTTTTAATTCGTCAGTGCTTTTGTCTTTAAAAAACAATAATTAACATTGCAATTGAGTAGTAAACAATTCCAAAACTCTCTGAAAAATATTGATGGAATTTTCTGTTAGTAACTCTCTCTGTAATTAACATGATGAGCAATGTTAATATCTTACAATTGAAATTACCGACAGAATTTACCAACGAAATAAAAGTATTGTTGTATATTCACGTTTCCTTCAATAAAGAAATTGATCCTTAATTTTATCAAACATCTTTATCTTTTTATTTTTCTTTAGCACACTATTCTCAATTTATATTCAAACTTTACATGAAATGAAATGAGAATTGAATCTTAGATTTTTGTAATTAAAAGAAATCATAAAAAAAAAACTCATTTTATTTGTCAGTTCAGTCAGTTCATATGGTTATAAATTTAAGGACTACAATTAATTGCTTTCCATTATGAATATTAAATTTAAGATATCTAGGATGTTTTAATGGCTAGTTTTAATTCATAATA